AGAATTCCCACAGAAAAATGGATAATGAAACTCAATTGGAAATCTGCCCCCCAGATGGGTAGTTTTCCAATTGAGTTTCATTATCCATGGGTAAGATTTGCCTACTTATAAGACTATAAAGCATCCTTTACTGATGATCTCACTTTCTTCCTCCATAAATTGACTCATGCAGAAAATCACTTATTTGAGGTCAATGCCAGGTTAATGTTTTTAGAAAAGTGGTGTATCAGAGGAATTGGAGGAGCAAGGAACAGTGATTATGAAGGACCTAAAGGAGTCATGTATAAGAGAAGGAGATTTGTAGAGGTTGGAGAAAGGAAAAGGGAAATAGGGCCATTCTAGAGGGAAAGTATTATCACTATGAATAACCATGTTTTCATCAGAGCTTGATGCTTACAAAAGACAGAGCTAACAATTAGCATTGGTCTACCTCTTTCTTGGATATGATCTTGAATTAAATCTAAATGGTCAGTGCAACAGTTGAAGTTGCTCAACTGAAAAGACCAGGACAGAAAGTGCCCTCTAAAGCTTGGGAACCACTCATGCCTGCTCCAGTTCACTGTGAATCTCTGGTATAGCATTGTAACATCATGGCTCAAAAGTACTCACCCCGTAAGTTGGCCTTTACTTGCTAATAACTCTTTATTTCTTACTGTATCTAAATACCAAACCTTCCTAACAAGGCCAGAAATAGAACTGGAGAGGGACAGACTTGGAATAAACCTCAAAGATTACCTTGTGGAGATCTATTACAGATGAAGAAACTAATGGTCAGAGACGAACAGGACCTGATGAAATTTCCAGAATTTGGAGCTTCTCTTCTTCCTTCTCCCTCTGCTTGAAAGCTTACAATGCCCATAGCTGAATGTCAGGTAACTAAAGAGTGGATTCAGTTGCAAGACCTAAAGGGGGAAAGAAGTCCACAGTCTGGCTCAAAGTCCTTTCTGTGTCCTTCAGAGATGCAGAGGGGAGAAACACTGAGCTCTGAGAGTCTCAACTCCTCCCTGGGAGATCCTTCTCCATTTCTCTCCAGTCTTTAAGGGGAATAGTTTCTGATTCCTCAAGCTCTGTCTGATCTCCTTTATCCTTTCTTTTGAGGCACAGAAGGAGGTATTGAATAGAAACAGATGCAGTTTGAGCTTGTACCATCCTTATAAAAGACCCTAAGAGTAATCTCAATTGTTTTTACACTGGATCAGGCGTCAGGACTGGGATTAGGATTAAGTGATGAAGAAGCACTTACACCAGGCACAAAATATAAAGGGGTGTCAAAACACTCAGTAATCAAGATAAATAATATTTTAATGCAATGTTTTAAAAACTGTTTAAAACAAAAATAAATTCAATGCAATATAATACTTAATATAGAAATATTAAAAACTTAAATAGTAGAATCTGACGCTAATCCCAGTCTTGTCACTCTGGCTCTTCAAAGTTTTAGATATTTTATACATCAGAATTTTTGAATTCATTTTTATTTTTAGAAGATTTGAATTAAAATATTATTTATCCAGATGACTGGGTTTTAGAGGCAGTGCCCCCTTAAATTTTGCACCTTAAATTACTGTCCCTCACTTTACCTTAATCCCATACTTGCCTGGATGGAATTCATTCTTGGCTCTCATCAAATGATTCAGGGACAAGGAACAAAAAAAAATAAAAAATAAAAAAATGAAGCATATGCAGAGTTTATGATTTAATTCAGTGAATTATTTTTATTGATGCAGAATTAAATGATTCCAACTCAGTAACATTGGAAGGACAAATTAATTACTAATAGCTACTTACATCATTCAAGGTTTTACCCGTATCCAAAGTTCAGGTCTGCCTCAGGGACAACCAGCTCAAGAGCTGCTGAGAGAGGACCACGGAGGATTGCAGACTCAGGTATTGATCTCAACTTATAAAACATATCCCTGGAAATTAACTGGCCCCAACTCATCACAAGTGATAAGAACAAACCCCTCTGTGGGGGGTGCAATTTGGTACCTGCAAGCAGGATATTTGGTGCCATCAGTTAGTTGACAAACTGTCATTTTGAACATTATTGTGCTCTGGTAGCATAAAATGGTGGAGTGGTTTCGGCAAGTCACCTTGTT